CCCCCCCCCCCCCCCCCCCCCCCCCCAAAAAAAAGAAAACTGTGCAATGCGTAAACGGTTCTTGTTTTCCCTCCTCCTCACCATCACCACTACTCTCACCAGCATAGTCTGACCTGAACCAGATGCCTCTCTCTGCATGGATACCGCCTAGTGATAAGAATTGGCAAAAAAAGCAAAAAAGCAAAAAAAAAGCAAAGAGAAAGAATAGGCAGGGTGAGTGTGTAAAGCCATGGACCCAGAAACTTGTGAAAAAGAAATAAGAAAAAGGAAATGGAAAAAGCACAAGAAAACACCCTCCTCATTCGTTCATTTCGGTCAAAAGGAAGGGAAAAAAAAGAAACAAAGAAACAAAGAAAGAGGAGATACAAGTTTTTTTTTCTGTTATAGGTATCTGTAATCTGGGGCGCGGGAACGGCGGTTTCGGCCTCGGGGATTCACCGGTTGTCTGTCGTAGGCGTCGTTATCTTGTTGTTGTAGTTGATTTTGTTGTTGTTGTTGTTGCTGGAGGCCCGCGCCAACACCAACACCCCATTGCCCTTGCATAGGGGCGCCCCATCCAAACTGCTGGTGTTGCTGGCCAAACTGCTGACCAAACTGTTGTTGATGTTGGCCATATCCAAAGTTTTGCTGCTGGGGGAACCAGGCTTGTTGTTGTGGTCCTCCGGCTTGTTGTTGTTGTTGCTGTTGCTGTGGAAAGCCCATCTGGAAACCGGTTTGAAAGGCCATGGGGTTTGGCATCTGCATGGGCATGGGCATGTTCAAGTTCATGGGCATGCCCATGGGGCCCATTGGCGCGTTCTTGAGCATTTCCATTTGCTGGATGAATTCCTGTTCCATTTTGGACGCGGGGTCGGCGGCTTGACGCATCGCCTTTGGCGCGGTAGGTGGCTTGATGTCTGTCGGCGGCTCTTTGCGCTTTTTGGAAGAGGTAGAGTCAGTATCGGAGGCTTCGTCCGCCACCGCCGCAGTAGTAGCACTAGGAGTATTGGTAGTGTCATTTGCGACAGAAGAATTTGCGTTGTCAGTAGCATGTGATTGAGAAACTGATTCATTTGTTGAAGCAACTGCTGCCTTTGCCTTCTCCTTCTCTGCTGCCTTCTCTGCGTCGTATGCCTTGAGAGACTTGACCATATCATCGTCGGCAATAAGATCATCCATCAACACATCCTCCTTAGCACAGTTGGGGCAAACCAAATCTCCGTCTGCGAGCGCATTGTCGATGCACTCACGGCAGTATGTCTTACCACAACAAGGCGTCTTGACTGGGTCGACAAATCTTTGGTTGTCGATTGGGCATTCGAGTCCGCGTTCGCGGAGCTCTTTGCTGGCGGCATCTGCGCTCGCCGCGCGCGCACGCGATGCGTTTGTCTTTTCCTGAAACTTATCCCATGCTTTTGTGTCTGTCATAACTTGTACGTATTCACCGTCGGCGTTGAGCATGACGCCCTTTGCAGCCTCCTCGTCAACAGGCTTCTCGACCTTTTTGAGGAACGACTGCGGGATGCCCGTCGTGCGCTTGGCTTGGAAGACGGGCTTGAAGTCGGGGTCGTCGTTGGTAGGGCAGGCCTGGATCCAGTGGCCTTTGATGTTGCAGCGACGGCAGACATAGCCTGGTGGCGGCGGGTGCGACGGAACAACGACGTTTTTGGTGTTGTTCTTGCGGTACACGGGCTTCGCGTGTGAGAGGGCTTCTTTCTGTGCGTCCCATGCCATGGCCGACTCTGCCAGGAAAGCAGCCTCTGCGTCTTCTGGCGTCGCATTGCTTGTGGCGGGCAAAGGCGCCGCGGGCTTGGTTTGTGTTGTGATTGCGCGTGACGGCGCTTTGCCTGTGACGTAGCGGGCGGCCCTGCCCTGGCCTTTGGGGGCGGGGCGCCGTATGGCAATCACCGTCGAGGAGCGCGGGATCAGCGTCGTGTCGTCTTTGTATTCGGAAGCAGGGTCATCTTGCGGGAAGATGTGGAGGTTGAAGTCGGTGCCGTCGCCCAGGCCGCTCGCGCTGATAATCTCCTTCTTGAGCTCGAATACGCTCAAGTCAGTTCCGTTGAAGATGATGCGCTCGCTGTCTCTCGAGTTCTTGAACTTGTAGAAAATGGAGGAAGTCATGGTGGTGTGGCGTGGGCGCAGCTTTGGAGTGGGTGTGTAGTGAGAGAAGCGTGTTATGATGAGGAATCGAGAGGTCACCCCAGGCTCGGCTTAGCTAAGCGTGCACGGGCCGTCAGGCGAGAACCGGAACCGTGGTCCATGGAAACGCCACAGGCTGCAACCCTGGGACGTCCGCGGCATTAAGAGATCCATTCTAGCCGGTCAAAATGCATCAGAATCACGTTGGCTGGCCAATGGCAGCGGGGAAAACGGCAATTATTAATCATTCAGGTTATTCCGGCTCATCTATGCAAAATTTAGTGCCAGGTCTTCGCTCGCTTCCGCATCCCCTTCCAGCTCGTCAACGCCCATCTCCTCTCTGGCCCCTCCAGTGTCGCACTCGTGTATGATCTTCTTCCATCCTAGTGGCTCCGAAGGATCCTTGATGTGCTCAATTGTTGGGAAGTAGTGCTCGTTCTTCTTAAGCGTCGCGACCCATGGAACGTTGTCGAAAGTCATGACTTTCATACGGAAATACTCGTTGTCCTTGATCTTCTTGATTTCAACGAGGAAAGCCGATAGGTCGGGCGTGGGCACATTGTTGACGTGCGTGACAAAGTTTGTAGGTGCGAGTCCGTACATGTATGCTGGCGAGCCGCGGGCCCGCGACGAGATGTAGACATCCGAGTGGACCTTGCTGATTTGCTGGCGCACAGCCTGATGCGGACGGTGGAAGGTAGCGCCACAGAAGCTGACGAGCCGGTCTGTCTCGAGGTCCTCGGTCGGGACTGTCGAGACCTGGATCGTCTTCTCCTCCCGTTTGCGGACAATGACTGCGTCGAGAACTTCGTTGTTGTACATGACGTCCAGATCAGGAGAGCGAGTCACAAGCTTGCCGTTCAGTGTCAAGAGGACATCGCCTTCGTTGAGGCCGTCGCTGTGACCCGAGTCGACCTTGCGAACCATGAAGAGCTGGTGGCGCTCTGGGTCGGCGGTTTCCGTCTTCTCAATCCATTCCTCCGAGACGCCCATGACGCGGGCCTGGCTCATCTGGACCGTCTGAAACTCGACATTCAGAATCCGGAGTTTGGGTGTCTTGCCGCTCCGGATCTCTTCGAGTACCGGGAGCAGGCTAGGGGTTGCTAGACCGAGATGGTATTCCACGTCCTTGCCACTATGCGATGTTCGCTCGCCCAGGTACGACAGCCAGAGAGCCTGCACAGTGCCGTCCTCGGCAATCAGAACACCCGACCCGCTGTGTGAGGCCTGGTTGGTGTCGACGGTGATGGCATCAAAGTTGGTCGCACGGTATCGCGGCGTGATTGCGCTTGCTGGAATGGCGACGGTGGTAATGTCGGTGACGACCGTCTTGGCCACGACAGGTCGGAAGTTCTGGTTGATGCCAAAGAAGATGGTTTCGGCGCCCTTCTTGATGAAGTCGGTGGCGAATCTGGGCGTCTTCACCGGTGCATTGACTAGCGAAGCGTCGTACTTGACAATGGCATAGTTCTGCAACGGGTGCATGAAGACGACCTTTGCGTCGACAAAGATGCTGTCGGCGATGATGAGCGAAATGTCGCACAGGTCGTATGGCAGAATCGCTCTCGAGACAAGGACAAGCCCCTGCTCGGCGTCCACCACCAGGCCGTAGCCCTGCTTGTTCAGCTTGGGGAAGCCGTCGAGCTTGATGGGCATGGAGACGTGCACGCGTACAAAGCTGCGAACAATGTCTACTGCATCTGGATAGTTGGAGCTCATCTGGACGAAGTTGGCACGGCGTGGCACTGGGGGCACAGGTGGTATGGCATCGGCAAGTGATTTAAAGTCCCACAAGCCGGTCGTATCATTGCGTGTTGCGACGCGAATCTTTGCGTGCCAATGCCTATCGACTGCAGTGATGCTAGTGTTTGCAGTGTGCAAATCGCGCAGGTGCTTGTACATCATGACGACTCGCTTGCGGTCAGGAATCTTCTTCATGACCTCAATGAAGGTATCTAGGTTGGGTGTCGGCTGGTTGTCGACTTCCTGGATCAGCCACCCAGACGTGTAGCCATCGGCAAATCTGAACGAGCCGGCTGCCTCGCACACGTACACGCCTGCGCCTTTGAGCGAGATGGCGTACAGGCGGGCTTGCTGATACGAGAGGTCGTGGAATGAAGCGCCCGCGACAGACACAAACTTGTCGGGCGTGATGGCGTGGAGATCGCCGACGTCAATCTCGACTTCCATGTTCTCTCCCGCACGCTGTATCGTCACGGAAATCGTCTGGTCGACGTGCTCGTCCAGGATTGCGTCGAGGCGGACAAACTGCGTGAGCAGCTCTCCGTTGACGCGCAGCAGGAGATCGCCTTCTTCAATCTTGCCAGACGCCGGGCCCTGGGGGAGCACAACCTCGGCGACCAGCATGCCCGTCTCTTTCGGAAACTGCGTGCGGATCTCCTTCTCCAGCTCGGCCGAGAGGCCTAGTCGCCGACACTCGTCGAAGGGCTTCAGTATCCACTGTGTCTGGATGGTGCCTCTGGTGACGTACTTGGCTTGGCGGATCAGCTCCAGCGCGCGCAGTGGCCGGTCCAGCGGCAGGAAATAGTCGGTCGCAGCACCGTCGGCGCGTCCGCCAGCCTGGAGCGCAACGGCAAACCCGTTGCGATCGACGACCGGACTGCCTGAAGATCCTCCGCTGGCCGCAGCCGCCGCCTGGATGTAGTTGGTGTTGAAGTCGGAGTAGCCCTCGCCGTACTCGGGCGCGTTGCGGTCCAGCCGACTGATGACGCCGGACAGGATACTGAGCTTCTCTCCCGCGTCGTTGCCAACCACGCGGATCTCGACGCCGACTTTGGCGTTGTCGGGGCGCAGCTTGAGCGCCGTGACGGGCATGTAGCGGATTTTCTTGGGGTCGAAGCGCAGGATGCCAAAGTCGTGGACGGGGTCGCGGTAGACGGGGTGGACGTCGCACTCCTCGTGGTTGTCGAAGATGCAGTAGCCGATAAAGGGGCCAGCGCCCACGACGTGCCGGTTGGTGAGGATGTAGCCTTGCTCGGCATCCACGACAAAGCCCGTGGCCTCTGAGCTGACGGCGGCGTCGGTGTCAAACGAGCACGTCTGGCAGAAGTGGATCGACACGACGCTCTTGACCACGTTCTCAATCGTCTTCTGCCATTCAGCCGTGTCGGCGCCGGCGGCGGCTGTGACATGGGACGCGGGCGGCAGGTCGTCGGCGACGCTGTACTCGCTGGGCGCCTCGTCCATGGACTCGTCGGGGGCGTGGGAATGCGACATGACGCCGTTGGTCACGTGCGAGTCGGGTTCGGGCTTGATCTGCTTGAGGGGGCGGTCGGTGGCGGGTGAGGTGGGCGGTTGCTTGCGCTTGGTTGTGCCATTCTGGTCCATTGGCGGCGAGGCGTGTGCAGACGCGGGCGAATGTACGGCGCGGCTGGCACGGTCAAGGGCGCTGGGGCGGGGCGGCCGGGCAAGCAGGCGCGTGGAGACGAGGGCGAGCGGTCGCGAGACAGACAGCGCCAGGTAGCGTGATGAAGGTGTTGTTGTTGCGCAGAGAGAGGGTTTGCAGGCAGTGAGGGCGGCTTGGGCAAGCAGCATGCCAGCCCTGGAGGAGCGCTGTAGAAATACCGAACAGCGCCGGTGCTGCTTCTGCTGCTGCGGCAAAGTGGACAAGGAAAAAAAGACAATGCACGCACAACAACAACGCTGCGCTGCGCAATCGAAGAGAATGCTGAGTACAGAATGGCTCTCGATGAGGCAAGGAAAGTGCCTGAACAGCCCTGCAAGGCCGCTCCCCCCTGGTCAATCCGACTGCATGTCGCCAATCCGCCGCCAAGCTCAGCTCCGCCTGACAACGACCCAGACAATGCCCTCGACCTGTATCTGACGTCTTCATGCATACGCATACACAAAATTCCATGTCATTAGGTCATCTTTCGCATCGTGCATCCATTCGGCTATCATTCCAATCGTTATGATCCACCAGCCCGCCGCCCGACGACGATTCTGAGCTGGCCATGCCACCGCAAACAAGCAAGAAGAGAGCTGCGAGTCGATAGTCAGGGCCACCGTGTGAACGCCTCTCAATATCGCCCGAACATGCTCCCGCCATCCTGTTGGGACTATCCATTAGAGAACCCCAGATCCTGAGATAGCAGCCGGCCGAAAAGAGTCATAGCCAACACCCTCACACCTCAATCTCACTCTCGTCGTCCGCGCTCTCCTCCTTGGCCACGTCTTCGACAACCTCCTCCTTGACCAGCACTTCAGCAGCAGCCGGCGTGGTACTCTTGCGCTTCCTGGGTGTAGCCCTCTTCTTCCTCGGCGAGCCGTCACCACCATCAGCATCAGCATCAGCGTCGCCATTGACAGCCTTGCTATTGCGCTTCCTGGGTGTCCTGGCCTTCTCGGGCGAAGCAGGGGCCTTGGCTGCGGTAGTAGACTGGCCGTTTTTGATCTTCTCAATGTCGTCCTTGTGCTTTTCCTTCAGGCGCATGAGTAGCTTCCGGCACGACACGATGGAGCGGCCCGCGGGAATGGGTGCATTCTGCGGCAAGCGTTAGTAGACGGCAGCATGGCCAAGAGCGAGACTTACGGCAATCTTGCTGTCCATCTTGCCCTCGTTCTCGCAAAGCACGACTAGGTACGCAATCTGTCTTGTGGTCAGCCGAGATACGTGTGAATGGCTTGAGGATACGTGCCTTCTCGCCTTCAGTCCAAAGAGCACCGCTTGCGCCTGTCTTGTTTGGCGTTTCAACCATGATGGCTGTGTGTTGATGTTTCGGTAGAGGTGTATTGTTGTGGGTAAGATGTGGGTGAGGGTTGTGAGTGACGGGTAAGTAGAGAGTGGCTGATAAGAAGTGTTGAGGAGAAAGGAGGTTGAGGGAGCCTTGGAGTGAGTGATATTTACAGAGCCCTCAAATCGCCTTCACAATTGTCTGCTGGTGATGTGGGTCAAGCTAATCTAGAGGGGAGAAGAGAGCGGGGAAGTGAAGGTGAGTGCCTGGAACGCCGGAGATAAACCTACTAGCTCCGTGCGTCTTGAGGAAGGAAGCCAGACCTGTATCCAGGTGAGTGATACACGGTGTTTAGAGCAGGACAGGTCCTCGTTCCAACACGGGGATATCATATCACCTTGACATTCGCATACCGCAAGTTTTCACCTGGACCACCTTATCCCGATTTCCCAATGAGCATCTCAACATATCTGAATCTCAATTCCACTATCCACTGCAAATACTTGGCTTTTCTGCCTAGACGCTACTTTCTCTGCCGCCCCGCTTACTCCTCACATCTGTTCTCCTTCACTCCCTGGATGCAGTCAACCATCAGAGCATTCCAGAGCCTCTGCTGTAAAAGACACAGCACTTCATATTTCCCCATGCATCTCCTCGTTTCACCCTCACCCTACAATGAATTTTGCACCTGCCCACGCCGCCACCAGCCGCCAACACCTCAAACCCACAACAACCAGCCACACGCCATACTTGCGCCACACCAGCCCCGCGCCACACCCATCCATGTATACATCACATCCCCCCAACTCTCAGCCCCCTCCCACCCTCCACCCATACCTATTTCAAAAGCCAAAGAAAAATCACTCATAACAACGCAATGCTAGAAATCGCCTGCTTCAGCGCTCCCTCTGCCCTTGCCGCCGCCCGCTCAGGCGCCACTCGCATCGAGCTCTGTGCCGACTACGCAGCCGGCGGCGTAACGCCCGAGCTCAGCACGCTGGAACATATTCTCCATGACTTGAACAAAAACAAAGACAACGACAATAGCAAGAGCAATAGTAGCAACAGCAGTCAACACATCCCCATCACCATCATGATCCGCCCGCGCGGCGGCAATTTCCACTACACCGACACCGAGTTCGCGCAGATGCAAGATGCGATTACATTGTTCAAGCCTCTCGCCAGCGGTTTTGTATTTGGGATTTTGGAAAAAGAGCCGGAGAACGAGGGGGCATCTGAGAGTGCAAAGAAGCAGCGCTGGCGTGTAGATACCACGCGCTGCACTGCCCTAGTGCGTCTAGCTGCGCCGCGCCCGTGTACGTTTCATCGTGCGATTGACGAGGCGGATAGTCTACTTGATGCGGTTGAAGTGGCGGTTTCGTGTGGCTTTGCGCGCGTGCTGAGTAGCGGGTGTGCTAATAGCGGGGCGCTTCAAGGCGTCGAGGCGTTGTGCCAGGTACAACAGCGGTTTGGAACGTGCATTGAAGTCATTGCTGGAGGCGGGATTCGAAGCACCAATGTAGCGGAGATCAAGCGCACAACGGGGGTCCACTGGGTGCATTCTGCGGCGGTTACGCGCGCAGGAAGCGAGGAGGTAGATCAGAATGAGGTGGGCAGGATACGGGATGTGTTGGTGAGCATGACATGTTGAAAGAGAGGTATTTCAACAGTGACGCGGTGTTGCGCGATTATTTTGTTTGCAAACTTGCATAATTTGCATTAGGAATTATAATCATATCCGAGCCTCTTCCTTTTTTCTGATTCTCGGTTTATATATGTACATGCATATACGTATAGAGAAAAGTAAAGCATCTAGTATGGTATCATCCAGACCAAAATGCTAGTCGTCAAAAGAAAACACCAAGTCCAAATAGCCCATTCCATGTCATCAATCTTTTCCAACGCATGTCTGTCATCTAGGGGTGAGAATAGCAGCTCGAGCCGTCTTACATGAAAATGTAGAGCAGGGCACCGAGAACAGTCATTCCAAACGACCGCGTGGTATCAACAGACACATGGGCGGCTGCGCCTGTGGACTTGGGTGCCGCAGTGTTTGTGATAGTCATCACTTCTGTCTTCGCAGGAACAGTCGTGGGCGCGGAGATTGTGGTGCCGGGAACCGTCGTTTTGATCTCCTGTCCACTGACGGTTGCCGCCATGGTGCTCGCGGCAATTGTGGTGGGGGCCGTGTATGTCACGGCGGGGATGGTGGTGGTGATGATAACGATGGAGCCGAGTTCAGTGGCGGGGATGGCGCTGCCCACGCCCGTGCCCGTGAACTGCGGTGGGATCGACATGGTAGACGTGTTGGGCTTGTCGGACTGGTTGTTCGAGTAAATATTGCCGGGCTGGCCGTCCTTGGTGTAGTCACCGGTAATCAGGTTGATTTGGGTGCCTCCTGAAGTGTAGTTGCCCGTGTGAATGGTTCCGTAGGAGCCGTCGGGGAACTGGAAGTTTGTGGTGAATTTGTCGTAGCACATGGGAATGTTCAGGTTGGCTACGTTCACGCAATCGAGGTTAGGGTGGCAGGCGAAGCCTTCGGCACGCTCCGCCAGGGCATGGTCTCCTAGAGAACGCTTCGCCTTGAACGAAATGCCACTGACAGATGCGAGGAGGCTGGTATAGAGTGAGCTGAGGCCCGTTCCAACGGCAGGAGGAGTCTGTGTTGTAGCGCCCTGGGGCTTGCAGGCCTTGTAGGCCTCTTGACGTGCTTCCAGTGCGAGCTCTTCAAACGGCGACGCGGCAGCCACAGCGGCCAGAGCAAGAGCCAAGTATTTCAGAGACATGGTGGCGTATCAAGGTTGGATCTACAGACAAGTCGGACGCGCAAGGGTATCGCTGGATTAGACGGCTATTGGGACCAAGGAATGGCGTAAGCAAAAGAGCGAATGTCCAAGTGAGCGACCGGGCGATGGGCTAACACGGCGACCATGCAAGAGGAGCGCCTCCGAGTCTATATACCGTGACCGAAACCGATAATAGCAATGCTGACAGGGTTCTTCATGCTGGGTCTTCTCACGCCGAGCTAGCCAACAGGTACCATGCGCGTGGCAGCCGCTATCTAACGGGTAGCGCGCCGCTATACGGTGTGTTCGGTACAGGCGACTGGGGTTCTTGTGCCATGCAATTGTCAGGCGTTGCGCAAGGGACAGATGGCCTGCGTATCATTCTTCCTGGAGGATCTCGCTGATAGACGTCGCTGATGGACGTCGCTGATGGACGTCGCTGAAGAACATCGCTGAAGGACGGGTCGCGCAGCCACTCTACCCTGTGCCCTCCAAGAAGTGAGCTGCTTGTAAATCCTTGGGAGGTCAGCCGGCATCCCGCAGGCCTGCGTATTTAGCCAGTGAATGATGGAGGGGCGAAGGCGCTAAAGGTGGAGGATGTAACGGTCGTGTGATTTGCAGGGCATTCATTCGGCTGGCTCGAAGCGATGTTTCGTTAGTCCTAGGGCAGGTTGAATTTTTTCCTTCTAGGCCTGCCGCGAAAACGCCTCTAGATCGAGATGACGATGCCGAGATTCCTCGAATTGCTCGCTTGGGGTAAGCCCTCCGTCCAGTCAATAAACAAGTGCCGACTAAACGTTATACTTGTACTGGCTGACGTGATCCCTGTACAAAGCACGCATGCTTGGTTCCTGGCAGCAAATCCCGGGCATGAAGGCTGCGCGCTGCAGGCCGTACCCTTCGCTGGTCTGCAACTCACACCGGATTATTGTTTTACCCCAGCTGATACTCTCGTCGAAAACGGTCAATTGGATGATGCGCCACAGAAAGCACATGAGCACGTGACCGAGCCCAGCCTCGTATCCGGCCAATGGATCGTGCGGTTTGGGCTGAGAGCGAAAAACTACGCATGCGCACCGCGGTTTTTTTAATGCTACGAGAGTAAGCAGGATCCAAGCTCGAAGCTTTTCCAAAACAAACGCGGAGATACACAACCATCACCACACACAAGACGCGAGGAATGCGTAGTGGATTAGGGAATCCTCACGGCTAATCCGGCACCTGATTGCATCTGACCGGGAGCTACTCGAGCAAAGTACTCTCAGCGTAAGATTACGACGCCCTCCTGGAAAAATAAGCCAAAACTTCTTGATACCTTGCGGACCGTTGAGCAATACGGCGCGCTGTCTGTTCGCCGCTACGTGGTGGTTCAGCAGTGTGCAGCCGGTGCAAAATAGCGCCTGGTGGTCGAGCATGCATTCTCAGCCACAGCCTTTTCTTCCCAACTTGACAATATGTCGTATGAGCAGACCACTGGAGACGGCTTGATCGCGAGATCACGGCATGCATGACACCGAGGGTGGGCCGCGTCGACACCCGCACCTCAGTACATCGTACATAGACATGGATACGAGAAAGGGCCGAGAGGTCCAGCACCAGAACACCAACGACGTTGCAACAATCAACATGACTTGCTGCCGTTCCGGGTGCCCGTCATTGTTTCTGCCTTACAAGAATTAACAGAACATGCAGCAGCATCCCTAGACGTTTTGGCATGGCACACTAGCTGCTACTGAACGACTGTTCCCGTAATCCCTCGGACACATGTGGTGAGGACTCTCGGCTATCGTCTTGATTTGCGCTGTATGTGTGTAAGCAAGACTCCATTTGGCTGGCCTTGTGTCACTAGTATGAACCTACTCGGAAATACTACCACTACTACCAGGGGTGCAGTTGGCTGGAGCAGGACCCACACACATGGGCATTCTGCAAGTAGTAGAGGCCCTTTGCACAGCCCCATGAGTATATCCAGGGTGCGGCCTTTGATAATACATAGAGTTTGAATGTAAAGAACAACCTGCTGGTGCTTTATAGTTGGATCTAAGGCTGTAATGGGTAGGACTTTCGTAGACCCTGGCATTCCTTTAGCCAATGCTCTCAACTGTGTCGGCGGGTGTTTGATGTAATACGCTGGACGATCTCTTGTTGCACTATGATTTAGGTTCGACAACTCAACTTGCGTGGTTCTCAACGCTTGGCCCGGATTGCTTCAGTGGTTCGTCGCATACTTACTAGAGCTCTGTCTACTCTAGGAACTCGACTGATACCTTTACGACGCACGCTTTCTCAGAGCCACGATGACTTGAGGATTACGAATGTGCTGGCATCCGGATGGGAAGTCTTCCACTGTTGGGTAGCACGAGGAAGAGTAGTCCGCAGCCGTCCAACCCAATGGCAGCTCCTGTTCTCATGGCCACGGCTTTTGAAACAGGGACTTTAGCACGCCAACTAGAACCGACAATGTACTCGAGTGCCTTGAAGGTGAACGACAGCATCTTGACCGGGTAGGGATGTATCGATGGTAATAGAGCCGAGCACTAACAACTGCGGTCAGTCGAAGAGAATTCAGCATACCATCGTACCATTAACAGCGTCGACTTGCTGAAACGTCGCCGTCGGTCTCACATACAATCTGTCCCAATAGGAGAAGACTAGTCGAGTCGGTGTGAGGCTATGCTAGCCCAAGACGGTCCAGGTCACGTGGAGAAAGCTAGCCGGGTGCATCGTCGCGGATGGCAGTGCATCAATCCCACCATTCACCAACACCTGCTTACACTACACTACCATTAGCACTAACATATACGCCCTACCGCCAGACGTACTGTCGGGAGTGCTCCGGGCTCTCAGAATGGCGCAAGAGCAGGTTTCGAGAGCTTAGTCGGCACTAGGCGCAGCGGACTATGCCATGGACTCTGTGCGCCTTTGATCCAGCGTCATCAGCCATCAGCTCCATGGCAACGGCCAAGAAAGCTGGAAATATGGTGCAGAATGCATTGACGCCTGTCAAAAAAGAGACGGACTAGAGAAGATGGATGCTTTCATGACATCTTCGCCGTTTGGAGATGCGTGCTCTTGTCTGGAGGCTTTGTTGGGGACGAGGGACGGCACTGCCACTTTCCTGCCACCCGCACCGCCCCAAATCGTCGCGACCATACGGAAATAGCTTACCTACGCCCAGAGCCGCCAATCGATGCGATGCCTCGGCGATGCAGAGTGGTGGTAGTGGTAGTGGTGGAGATGGCGAGTGCTGGTGGCGCAGGAGGATCGACGGGAGGCGATCGAGCCCTTAGATTGCAGTGGAGGCGGCGTAGCAACGCCGGTGACGTCATATCTGCTGTTCCTGCAGCGACAGCGCCTCGACTACGTGTATAAACCTGCTGGGGCGCCATACCAAGCTTTGTCCAGCCTCGTTTCAGGCCTGCTATTTCCCCAGCGGCCCCCCGTCTTCCTATTCTTGTTGCATTCCCCTTCATCCTTCCACTGTCGCTCCGGCTCCACTTCTGCAGCGCGACCAGCACGCGCCCATCCCTCTGGTCTTGTCCTGCTCTTCTCTTCACCGCCATCATCCTTACAACACCACCACCAAAATGGTCCATCACCGCGCATGGCAGCGCGCGCTGCAGCTGGGCGCTACCGTGGGTCTCGCTGGAGCAATGGCTCTGCCTGAACCCACACCCGTCCCTGCCAAGGTGGAAGCCCGCGAGCCGCTCGTGACGCCAGCGGCAATCCGCTTCGACGGCCGCTATAGCTACGTGCAGAAGAGAGACATCGTCAGCGACATCAAGAGCGGTGTCGATGGCTATGTGAACTCGATAGGCAGCGTGCTGGGCACCGATCTGCCCAGCTTCTTCACCGACGGTACGCAAATCCTTCGGGCCAAGCCGCCCAAGCCTTGCACTAGTGAAGCTTGTGCTAATCCCTCTTTAGGTATTCCCGGCTGGTTCGAGAGCCTCCCCACCGGTGACCAGGTCCTCAAGTCGCTCGACATCAACAGCGGTGATATGGCCTCGAAGCCTACCCAGGTCCTCAATGTTCCTCCGTATGCGAACTGGACCGACAAGGGCTGGAACGTGCGCTTCCACGGCAATGTCTACAAATATCCGAATATCAGCCAGGAAAAGGTTGACGACCTGGCCAATGTCTTCCTGATCGACACGAGCATCGACAAGCTGTCTCCAAGCGAGCAGGACCAGGCACGCAACCTCACCCGATCCATCTTTATCGTCCAGCAAGGCGACCAAAATGTCACCATGAACCTCGAGCCTTCGCCCATGCAGGGCGGCGACGGCGAGCCTGGCGGTGGCAACGCCATCCAAGCACCTGGCGGCAACCAGAGCGTGAAATTGCCGTATCCAACAACGGCGGAAGGCGACTTTGACGTCTTCGTGCCCATTGAGCTAAACGGACTCATTCCCGGTAACCAGACCAAAAACGTGCAGCGCCTGAACGTCCACACCAATGGCACTGACAGCGGCAATGCCACGGCCTACCTCTTGCCTGCAGAGGGTATCACATTCATCTCTGATATTGACGATATTCTTCGTGTAACCAAGATCTGGGATCCCAAGGAAGGTCTTCTCAACTCCTTTGCTCGCCCCTTTACCCCCTGGATGAACATGCCCGAGATCTATGCCAATTGGTCTCGCAGTCTTCCCAACGACACATCTTTCCACTACCTGACTACAACTCCTGAACAGGCCACTCGCCTTTACATGGACTTCATCTACAAGACGTACCCGGGCGGTTCCTTTGACACACGCCCGCTCAACTTCTCCGATGTCGACGCCACCCTCTCGATTCGCCAGTATCTCCTCACCAAGATCTTCGAGACCTTCCCTAGGCGCAAGTTTGTCCTCGTCGCCGATACCTCCAACAGCGATGTCATGAGGGACTATCCCAAGATGGCTCACGACTTTCCCAACCAAGTTCAGTGCATCTTTTTGCGCAACACCTCGGCAACCGACGAGTCAATGTGGTTCCCCTACAACACCGAGGGTTTCAAGGGCCTGAACAACCGCAGCTACATGTTCTTCCGTGAGCCAAATGACCTGACTGGTCTGGACATTGTCAACGGCCAGTGTCTCAACGCGTCGATCCCGCAAAACGTCACCTTCTCCAGGCAAGCGGAGATTCTTGGTATCCACGGCCACAGCGCTGCTGGTAAGCTTGAAAGCGGCGCGACGGTTAGCATCGTCATTGCCCTCTTCGCTGCCATCGCCTTGTCCTTGTAAGACACGACCTGCCGATATATCGGTCCTAATGAAACGATTGTTGATGAAGCATGATGTCTTTTTGGTTGGATTAATGGCGTTTGCGTTTTCAGCGTGATGGCAGGGTCCTCACTCTGATTCTTCTGGACTTTTGTGCATAGCTTCGATTCTTTGTAGAATAGCCTGGGAACGCTCAATGAATAAAAATAATGCATGTCTCCTCGTGTAGTCTTTCTTCACTGATTTTCCGTACTTTTGTGAATACAGCAACACCCTGGCTCTAGGGCCATGCAACCTCCATGTCGTTTGCGTGTGCACATTGAAACGTACTGGAGCATCATGTCGAAAGTCCTCAAACATATCAACATTGGAATAAATTCAACATATCAACACTCTCATCACACACCCACACTCTCCTCAAGCCGCCGCGCAACCTCCAACATCTCAGCATCCAACCTCGAGCCACTCAGAAACGTAACGCTAAACGGCAACTCGCCCTCATCCTGCTCGTGCCCACTCAGCTCCGCCACAGGATACGTGCCCGCCGGTACCGCGACGCCACACAGATCGAGGACGTTTCCACAGTGGGTAAAGGCGCCCAGGACGCTATTCTTCGCAATGGGGTCTGCAAGCACCTCGTCGATGCGCCAGTGCGTCGGCGTCGTCGGCACAACGACGACATGTACGCCGGTGCTGGAGTACGCGAACACGGCTTCGGCATCGCGCGTATGGCGGGCTTGGGCCTGCAGATCGCGGTATGCGTCTACTGCGGAGCTTTTTCGAGCCGCGACGGCGTCCATGAGCTGGGCGGTCACAGGATGTAGTGCAGCGCGGTGCTTGGCTAGGAAGTCGTCGGGTAGCGAGGCCAGGCGCTCAGATACAAAAGTGCCGTCGTAGAGGAGCTGGCCGGCTTCGTGAAACGGCGTCCAGTTGATCGGTGTGAGGACGCCGCCCAGCGCCTGCAGTTTCGAGATTGTGTTGTTGAACATGCGGCGGGTGGGCGCCGAACACAGGGCCAGGGCCTCGGGCGGCGGGATCCCGAATCGAAAGCTGCGGGATGCGAGTCCGATGCTGTTTACGTGGCGCTCAAAGGGGAGTTCGGGTTTCGCGTAGGGATCGAGGGCGTCATAGCCTTCGAGGACGTGCCAGAGGGTGCGTGTGTCGGGTATGTTTCTGGCGGACAGCGCAATGCAGTCGAGCGAGAGGCAAGCGGGCGTCACGCCGCGGAACGAGATGGTGCCGCGCGTAGGCTTGTAGCCTACGATGCCGTTGAGGCCGGCGGGCACGCGGCCCGAGCCAGCTGTGTCGGTGGCGAGGGAGAAGGATACGAGGTTTGCGGCGACGGAGACGGCGCTGCCGCTGCTGGAGCCCCCGCTGATGTAGTCTTTGTGGTAGACGGAATGCGGGATCCCGTAGGGGCTCCGGCATCCGACGAGGCCTGTGGCGAGCTGGTCGAGGTTCGTCTTGCCGATGAAGAGGGCGCCTTGGGCAATCGCTTTTTCGTATACCGGCGCTGATGTGGAGGGGATGTGGGCGATGGGCGGACATGCTGTTGTGGTGGGGAGACCGGCAACGTCGATGCTGTCTTTTACACTGAAAGGAATGCCGAATAGAGGCGGGAGCGCGCTTCGATCGGGGAATCTGATGGCTAGATTCCTCGCAGCATCTAGAGCGACCTCGCGTGGCTGTATATGAATCCATACTGCTGGGTCAATCTTCTTGTATGCCTCAATCTTGTCGTAGACTGCTTCGACGACTGTCAGAGGCGAAAGACCGTTCTGGTATGCTTGCTGCAGAGCAGATATTGTGAGGTCGCCGTCAAATGCAGGTGGTGTTTGTGGGGGAGTAGAGTCTGCTTTGTTCTGCTTGGTGGAGAGAGGTGCAAGTGCCTCCAAAAGGGGCTGCAGGCTGCCGATGAAGCCAAACAGACCCTGTGACCAGTGTATCATGTCCAGTGTCGACTGTTTGAAGCAAGCGTCGTTATATCCGCTGGTGGCTTCTTCGATCCCGCAGCATTCGAAGCCGCGGTCGTTGGCTTCTCGAATAGTGGTGGCAAAGCAGCATTCCGTAGTGACTCCCGACACGATGAGGTGCGTGATCGCTCGTGCTTTGAGTTGATGTAGGAAGGGGGTGTTCCAGAACGAGCCTTTGCCAGGCTTGTCGATGACCACCTCGCCTGGAAGCGGTTTCAATTCGTCAATGATATCATGTCCATATTCGCCTCTGACGAGCAATCGCCCCAGCCCTCCCTTGTCGCCAATGACTAGCTTGTGCTGCGTGTTACCAGGCGCGGCTTCTTGCCTGATGAGTTTTGACGAGGGGCAGTCGGAGAGATCTGGTTTGTGGCCTTCGCGTGTATGCACGATAGTCATACCAGCGCTTCGACATGCCTCGAGGAGCCGTTTGGTTGGAGCAATGGAAGCCTGAACAGCTTCCAGGTTTCCACCTTGGATTTCGCCGAACCCTTGGGGGAGCAGAAAGTCGCGCTGCATGTCGATAATGACCAGTGCAGTGCGGGCCAAGGGGAAGGAAAAGGCATATGGCTTTGCGTCAAACGACACCATCTGAGGGGTGGTTGTTTTCGCCATTCCGTCTGGTCGTGGGCGTTGACAAGCCGACTGTTGGGAAACAAACGATGCAAGCAGAAAGCGACAGTCTGGGTCAGCCGGGTGGAAGAGGAGACGGAGGAGATGGCGGGTGCGCAGAGAGGTGCTGCATCTTTAGGATTGAGTCCATGGTGGATGAAGGTTGACGTCTGAGGAACGGCCGAAGGCGGCGAGGCATGCAGCGGGCCTACGGCGGGCGGCGGCGCGACACTCTGGGGTCCTATCGGAAATGGACTAGTATATACTAGGCTTAGCGCCTCCCAGATAAGCCACCCCAGCTATGCGCAAACCCGGTACCTGACCGTCCGGCTCACTCTATTATGCCTCTGCCGATGCTCATACGCCTTTGCGCGCCGAGATGGCCTATCTTGATAGCCACGGGCCGTTTAATCGAGCCTCCGATGTGGGTATCTGCGGAGGCGATCTTGATACGGGGAAGACCCAGCGTCGACGGTATTAAACATATCGCGGGGCCTGGGGAGGATGAATTTGAATGGAGTTGACGTGTCTGTTCTATGCTCTTCACACTCCAGCATACCAGACCATGTCGGTGCTCAAGGCGAGACTCAAGGCGAGGATTGCACCTCATCTCCACCTCAGAGTTCCATTCAAGAGCGGAAAGTATGGCTCGCGTTGGTCGAACAAAGGTATGCGGATAGTATCAGATTACAGCAATTGAAACATGCTAATCATCAAGCTTCCAGATCTTGACCCTATCCCCCCAGAACAGCGTACTTGGGGCGGCCTCGACTTCTGGGCATACTGGTGTTCAGACATGCTGGCTCCTCCTCTGGCGTCTACCGTTAGCAGTGTCATGGCTCTAGGGTTCACAGCGAGAGAAACGATTCCTATTGTCTTCTTCGGATTTGCCATCTGCAGCGTGGTTATTACACTTACCGGCAAAATGGGTGCTACGTATGCTGTGTCCTTTCCCGTCATTGTTCGCAGCGTCTTCGGCATGTATGGCTCATTTCCAGCCATCTGCATTCGGGCTTTTGTCGCCATGATGTGGGCTGCTATCCTCACGGTCCAAGCCAGTAATTTCCTCCAACGTTGCATCGAGGCTATATGGCCGAGCTTTATTACCTTTCCGAATCACCTGTCTGAAAGCGCTGGTATTGACTGTAAGTTTGATTCCAAGAGACCATTCAAAAAGCCTGACAAGTAGTAGCCGCCGGACTGCTTTGCCTGTTTCTATATTGGTTCCTCCAAACTGGGCTGGTCCTCATGCCGATTCAAAAATTGCGTGTTCTGTTTTGGATCAAAAGCATTGTGGTCCCACCGACATTCTTGGCCTTGTTCATCTGGGCTGTTGTCATAACAAAAGGGTGAGTTCATGGCCTCCGAAGCATCTCATGTACTAACGTATTTGTAGAGGCGGTCCGCTCATCAAGGGAGAAGTAAAGATTACCTCAACGTATATGAACACCGTCTACTCTGTCCTTACCGGACTCAACGCCGTCATTGGACTCTTCTCCTCGCTCTCTGTCAACATGCCTGATTTCGGCAGATTCTCCAAGAACCAGCTTGCCGGATACCACCAGTTCCTTGCTCTACCCATAATCGGCACTCTGGGAGCTCTGACGCCCATCTTCGTCACGGATGCCCATTCGTACCTGTGGGGATCTTTTGAATGGTACATGCCAAGTGTCATTGCCAAATTCGACTCACGGGCCGCCAAGTTTTTCGTCTCGGCCAGCTTCCTCCTTGCGACTATTGCCAATCAGATTGCAGCAGACACGTATCCATTTTCCAACGATATCACCGGTATGCTGCCCAAGTACATTAATATATTCAGGGCCACCATCTTCATCTCAATCTTCTGCATCGCATCCACGCCTTGGAACATCATCAAGAACGCATCTGGACTACTTGCCTTTCTCAGCGGGTACTCTTGTCTTATGGGACCTCTTGCGGGCACAATGATTAGCGATTATTACCTTGTCAAGAAGAGCAAACTCGACGTCGATCAGCTATACACCAGTTACGGTATCTACTGGTACAATGGCGGCTGGAACTGGAGAGCATATGCATCTTTCATCACCGGCTTTGCTCCTCTGTTACCAGGATTCGCGAAAAGCATTGACAATAGTCTTGATATTGGCGGCGCTTGGAAGATCTACACATTCGCATGGTTATACGGGTTTTCCACTTCTCTCGTCACGCATTACATAATCTGCACGTACATTTCGGTACCAACAGCGTCGCTGGTGGAGTTTGCCGTGTATCCGCCGCAGAAGGAAGGGATAGATACGCCTGTTCTCGAAGGTGAAGAGGTCTCGACCATGGAAACCCCAGTCGCAAAAGCAAAGGAAGTAGCGGAGTTGGTGTAAAAATTGTACATAGTAATCTGTAGTTTGTTCCGTTCAAGTAGCAAGATTGAACTGCTGCCGAAGCGGAAAAGATCCTCTCTAGCCTTTTGGGTAGACAATATATATACTACAACATTTCCAAACAGTTATTTCCTAGTATTCACATTATCATTATTATCGCAGCCATCTCATCTGGATTTCACCAATTGGTGTTGCTATTAGTGATATGGCTGATTAATCATGGGTTGCTCGGCGCTCTGGTTGGCTTGGCCTCCGCATCTTATCGTGTACCTCGTCAACCTCTCGTTTACATACGTCGTTCATTTGCATTGCCGACGCCTTTTCATCAAGTCAAAAGATCTTCATGTGAGATCTGACATGCATTGAGCATTGCGCCGCGCCGGTGAAGCATGCATTCGAGGCACCGCATTCACCAAGCTGGCGATGCTTGAGCGAACATGACCAACCCCAGTAACACGACCAACCCCACATCTACACTACCAATGCACCTGTTCCACCGCACTGGAGCTCATGTGCCTCGCATCCTTACCAGTAGCCATGGATGTTATTCCCGATGACCTGTTCGCACCGAGCCACTTCTTCCCGCCAGTACTCAACTCCCAAAACACGACTAAACCAAGGTCGCGACGCCCATGCGACCCTTGCCGTCGGCGCAAGTCGCGATGCGAGAAACCGCACAGTGACCAGCCCTGTCTGCTCTGCAGCTTTCACCACCAGGAATGCACATTCAACGAGAACCCGCCGCCGCGGAAACGGAGAGCCGTAACGATTGACAGCCTGGAGCCAAGCGAAAGTGTTCCGAACCCACCATCACACTCGCCACACAGCCGGAGAAGCAGTACGGTGGCATCTACATCGCCTCAGGAAGCGCCTGTCAGAATCCGGCAAGATGCGCCCATAGATGACTATGCAAACCTGCGCGGCCCCTCGCTGCTGAAAAAGACACTGGGCTTGCAGACAGGCAGACACAGCCGCCTGATTGGGTCGACGTCAGAGTATGAACAGCTGCTCCTTGCGCTCGAGCCGAGTCAAGTCACCAGTACGTCTGCCGGGCAATCCTCGTTAAGACGAGTAGACGATGTGGATGCCACAACGTTTGTCTCACTACCGGACGTCGGTTCGCTCAACCACCACCATGACATCCCGGACCTGGACGCCATAGAGATGGCCGTCGCGCCTCACGGATCCGCTTTGATCCACCTCTATTTCCGGATTGTCCATCCCAGCTTCCCAATCCTGCACAAGAAAGTCTTCTTGGAGAAGTATGCGCGCACACATCGAGAGTTCTCGCCACCTCTCCTTGCTGCGGTATATCTGCTGGCTCTGGACTGGTGGTCGTATTCGAGTGAGCTGGCGTCGTTGGAGAAGCCTGACGTATCGCATCTAGAGGCACTAGCCATGAAGTCCTTTGGCAACATTGTGCATCGGCCGAAACTCTCCACGATCCAAGCAGGTCTCCTGCTTCTCCAGCGGCACGAGGGCAACAGCTGGACCATGACGACTCAGCTTGTCGGACTTGCTCAAGACATGGGCCTCCACCTCGACTGCACCGAATGGCACATTCCCGCCTGGGAGCGTGGACTCCGGAAGCGCCTGGCGTGGGCTGTGTACATGCAGGACAAATGGGGCTCTCTGGTACACGGCAGACCCTCGCACATCACCCCCACAGACTGGGACGCGCAGCCGCTCAACGAAGACGACTTTCCCGAGAACGCGGCGGACGAGGACGATGAAGACGGGAGCACCGAGGTCGAAAAGGGGCGCGTCTTGTTCTGCTACATGGTGGAGCTCACCAAGATCCTCGCCAGCATCCTCACCACGTTCTACTCGCTCAAGGCCGAACGCGAGTTTGCGACGGCGGGCGTGCGCTCGCTGCTCGACACTGCAAAGCCGCTGCAGCTTGCCCTGCGGCAGTGGTATGCCGACATGCCATGGACGCTCAAGATGCAGGACACTCCCGCGCGCAAGCTCTGCAGCGTAGGCTACGTGCATCTGGGCTACTACGCCGTGGAAATGACGTTACATCGGCGCATCATCCGCTCTCTGTCGTCGGCAGATGAGCCAGAGCTCCGCGTGATCTGCCGTCAAGCAGCACAGACACGGCTTACGTCCGCCATGAAGTTTGTCCAGTCGCTGCGGCCCGAGCACCACCAGTCCTTCTGGTACTCGGCTTCCACCTACAACTTTGTCCTCGTCGGCTCCTTTATCTCGCTGCTGTGGGTGACGTCGGGCGACGAGAGAGAAGCTGCCGCGTACCGCAAGACGCTCGACGAGTACAAATGGGTGCTGCGACTATCGAGCAAGTCGGCAGAGTTCCTCGGGCGCGCCCTTGCGGCCCTCAATACGTCGACCGTCACCCTGGTCAACAAGGTGGTTGAACGCTGTCCTGATCCCTCCCACCCACTATTGACCGCTCATCACCTCATGGCGAGACATGGCGCTCCTGTGGCTGCGGAGCTAATCCCTCGTCCTCCCCTCGACCCGGCTCCCACCACCATCACCACACCTCCTGACTTGCTACTCGCTGCCGCCCCCGAAGCCCGTGACCCTACCGCTCGCCCTGCGCATCCGCACAAAACCAGCATCGATGAGCACTCGTGGTTCCAAGCCCTGCGCGAAACTCACTTTGGGACCGCATACGACCCCGACGCTCAAGACGCTTCTGCTTCTGACATGGGTGTTGGTGCTGCTGCTGCTACTACTACTACTACTACTACTACTACTACTACTGGCCAACAAGTTGGCACCGCATAATTGGGCAGTATCATCATGGCCATCATCATGATCGTCTTCCGTGTCCGAATCAGGAAATGCAGATCTCTCCAAGCCAAAAACTATATGTTTGAATGCGGTTAAACCGCCATGTGAATCGTCTATTCGGGCTGTGATCGAACATAGCGTAGCCATGTTCGTATGGTACCAAAACTCACACATACTTTTGTCCGGTGTTTTATCTCCCCCCCCCTCACCGTTCTGTGTGTTACCATACCATAGGTGTAGGTGTCTATGTATATGTATTCGCCCAGTCTTTTTTTTCTCTCACGCTTTCCATGGACCGTTAGGCGTAGATCAGCAGTCTATGGTTCTGGAAAGCAAGACGGAGATCGGAAGTCAGGGTTAGGGGGTTGGGGGTTGGGGGGGGTTGGGGGGAACCGAACGCAAGGATGCAAGGATGCAAGGATGCAAGGATGCAAGGGCTGATGGATCTTCTCCGTTCTGTTTTGCGTTCCCTGGTATGGTTTAAAGTTAGTCGTATAGCTGGGACTGCAAAAGAATACGGGAGAGCGAGAAAAAACTGGATAAAAACAAGAGGAAACGAAACGAAGCGAAGAAGAAAAAAAACAAGGCTGTTGTGTGTGTGTATGTAATATCGCAAAGTCTCTCTTATCGGATCGCGCCGCCGGTCAAGTGGAAGTATGCATGTATGTATACTGCCGTATGTCCCATACATCTCACGTGACCACACAAACACAGCCAGTTAGCCAGCCAGCCAGCCAACCAGCCATCTTCATCTTCACCCGTACGTATGTAAATCGGAGATCTACCACTCATATCACACGACATTTCCCCTCTTTCCTCCATCCCGGAAACGAAGGACGAAATGCAGGGTAGGTGTTTTTTTTCTAAACCCAAACTATGTACGGAGGTGCCTCACAAAAGTTTTGTCCCACGCTAATCTCGGCGCTTCGGCATAACTCTTCTTGGCGCAACTCCCACCTTTGAGCTGAGTAGCTGTACGATTTGTCTGTATCTATCGTTACAATGTCTCCTAATACTGATCCTTACACCCGCACCTTAATTGTGGCGTTAAAGTCTACCTTCTGTTGG